GCTCCAACAGATTCCAGGAACAACATAAGAGCTCTCTGTCCAGAAAAGCGCAATGCTAGGAACAGGTAAGATTCTGCACAGAACCCTCAAACTCCCAGGCCTCTGGCAGAGGACCCGAGATTGAGGAAGACACATACCACCCATAGGGGTGAAGGAGGATTTCATTCTCTCTCTCTCTCTCTCACACACACACACACACACACTATCTATCTATCTATCTATCTATCTATCTCTATCTATCAATCATCTATGGATGACCACGGGCAAAAAGATGTGGCATAATATGTAATAACATAGTAATGTATGAATAAATACCTACTGTGTTCTAATGTGGATTCCAGGAATAACATTTTACCCTTACCCATGAGAATAGCCATGGACATTTCTCCCATATATTTGTTTTAAAAAGATACCCGATGAAGAATTTTTGAAAACCCAAAGCTTCCAACTATTATATTTTAATTGATCTAATAAATGTGGTACCGCTGCATATTTGTGATTTTCATAGTTATGGTTTCATAAGCAGAGACAAACAACAGCAAGAACTCTCACATCACTGTCCTCAAAGTCAGATTTTTTTTTTTTTTTTTACTACCATCTACAAATCCGGCCAATTATCATTTCACCAAAGTACGATATAGAACTTCAAAGATTCCTAGAGATCATGACTTTAGTAAAAGTTAAGTCCCTTGTGGAACACTGATCGAGGCCTTCAATTAATATCAGAGGCTTCTCAACTGCTAAAAGCCTTTTTCTTACTATGCGAAAAAACTAAGTATCATATAATCTCTTTCTAAGAAACATAGATTATCAATTGATAACCTAACTTCAATGCCAGGAATAAAACTAGCAATGGGCAATGCATTTTTATCTGTGTTTTGATTACGGCTGACAACAGGATTGCAACCTTAAAATAAAATAGGACAGATCTTAATCATCTCTCTTTGCAAAGCATCAAATACAACCTTTGGTTTTGCAGAGCCAGCAACATGGATAAACAACATTCAAACTGGGGTTTACAACTTCCAGAGCTTTCATGCTAAATGGGGATGCAACTCCTCAATAAGGACATGAACTCATGGAAATCTAGATAGGAATAAACCAGATGAGCCCAATATACATCCTAAGCTCCCATAGTCCTTTGACAGCATTGATGGAAACAAGGCTACAAACCAGATTTTACATATATTATGTCTAAATGTACAATACTTACATAACTGGAGGAAAAAAGCTTACAGTCATGCTAGTTAAATGACATAGGCCAGAGCAAGAAGGGACTGAGTGCAGAGCATGATCCATAACAGCCAGAAAGGTTGAAAGAGGATCAGACAGCGACCCAAAGGAAATAGAACAGCACTACGACACAACGCCAAGCCAAATTCAGGAGAATGGCTAACCAGAACCATTGCTGCCCTTTAATAATTATACAAATGATCAGCCTACCCATTCAACCAAACAGCTTCATCTATGCTGATGATGTGGCAATACCAACACAGACAAGGGAAATTACCCATATTAAAAAGACACTAGCAGCAGCACCAGCAACATTAAAAAGCTATCTATCAGGCCAGCTAACATGGGCAAAATATGAGACATGGACCAGCCTCTTCGTACAATCAAGACACAAACCAGCAATTGAAAATTAACTGGAATGGAATGTGGTTGAATCACAATGAACACTCCAATATGCATTCAAGTGACCCTGGATTCTACACTTTTATTTAAAAAGAAATTGAGAAACAAAGTCCAGAGTAACATTATTCAAAACCTGGCACACTCCCATTCAGGCCCATCTAGCAACCACCAGCAACTATGTCCTGCCTTGATCCTCTGAATCAACTGCTGAATATACACGTTCATTATAGGGATGCTTTACTCACGCAAGAAAAATGGACCCATTATTGAACATCAGCAGCTGAATTATCACAAATTGTTTAAAGCCAACTAAAACAAATAGATTATATATTCTTACTAGAATAGACTCTCTAGACATCTGGTGAACTGTAGCAAGTCATAATGGAACAGAACAATTGGAGGATGCTAGACATCCTCTATACAATCATATTACGAGAGGCATTTGAGATCATGTAAAGTTGTTGTTTTACAACAACAAACCATTAAATACCAGACCAATTTCCACTAGAGGTTCCTAGAGGTGGTGAAAAATTAGTACTTAGGAAAATGCTAAAGTGCCTTTATACTCAGGCTGGTATTAATGCAATCAAATGAAGGCATTTAACTGGCCTACCAATCTGAAATACGTCCCTGTGGCAAAAGCCAAGACTGCAGCACCCCGTGCTTCGTCCATACTTAAAGGCAGACTGTTGCATACTACAGGACCTTGCTGTAGTAAATTCATGAGTACTGAAATATGCACAGCAGTGGAAGTATGACTTGGTGAAACGACACAAAAAGATGCGTGAAACGTATCAAGAGTGATTTCTGCTACTCACTATATCTCAGTTTAAGTGATGGCAGTCTACACAAATTAACCTTAAGGGCCAACTAAGCAATTTACCCTTTTAACTTTTAGGACAAGTGTGCCTTCAAGGTCCTCCAAAGACTTCATGCTTTATTCACCTTTGCCATACAATAGTGCTATGGTATGTCATTTTCCAGATTCCCTCTCCCTTTTACTGCTTTTATGTAACACTCAACTTGCATTCTGACAATATTCCTATCTCACTCCACTAATCAGCTTCTTCCATCCCCATTCACAATAATGAGCTGCTCCCTATACTATGCCTTCTCCCTTGGCTCATGATTCTGAATTATCTCCCATAATCTGCCCGGGTCCATTTTCAAACATAGATGGCTGCTTTATAACAAGTCAGACCATTGCTCAATCTAACGATTTCTGTGGTCTCAGACAAGATTTTTACTATTACCTGATCTCTGATTCTTTCTGCTGGAAATGCCAGAAGCTGAACCTGGGAACTTCCTTGAAGAACATTTTGACAATGTTCACACACCCTGTGCAATGACTGGAAACCCCAGTGAGAGAAGAACACACATAAACACAGTTGACCTGTAGACCAAACCTTCCAGCATAAGCCTATGAAGGCCAGTAAACTAAACCTGCAAGAAAGAATAATCCCCTCCCTTTGAAATTAAATAGTGAAGGAGGGGTTTCTTAGAGGTTTTTGTTCTTTTAAAACTTCCCAAGAGCAGTGGCTGGGTGTGGGGAAGAAAAGAAAGGGATCTAAACCTCAGCCCAACTGTAGAACAATATCTTCCAGGACACAGTTAGGAATCTAATTCTTGTAGATTTCTAGGATTCAGGTCCTGAATTAGAGCTGATTTACTGCATGATTTTATTATACATGTGCTCAAGCTTCCTCTGATTTCTTTCAAAGTTAGTTTTATTCAAAAGCCTAATCTCCAGTTTGGATGGGCATATTCATTTTCCCTAAAATGAATTCTGCACGTATAAACTGCATATTCTTTTCTTTTTCCATTGCTCTTTATCTGAATAAGCATCATCCTGATCAACTGTATTTAAACAATTCTGTTTGTACTTTTTGATGCTCAACTCTAAGGCCTGTTTCTGTCTTCATTCCATGGAGTTCCTTATTTTTGCTAATTAAAAAGTTGAATACCTCTTTCTCTACCATGAGTAAGTAAGTATCACTGTTCTAACAATTTTTATAGTAACACCTTCTATTTCCGAATTCTATCTTTTATATTATCCCAAATCTCCATCACACCCAAAATGTGTTCTTTTCTCAAGGCTCCTTACTCACCATTTGAAACATCATCTATCCCACTGTCTTGCTTTTGATTCTTGCTCATTCTCAAACCACTAGCTAACCTCATTCCTTCTTTCTTATGTTTGAATGCTTTATTCATTCCTACCATCCCAACTTTCTCTCCTCCAACTCTTCTTGACCTTTTATAATCTGAATTTTGCCCTCTGTGCTCTACTGAAGCTTGTCTTTTGGTTATGTTGTTCTTGTTCTCTGGAATCTTTAATAAAGATAAACACCATTCTTCTGCTTGACTCTTTCCATGGTTCCCTATCCATTATTCAATTTCAATTATGGGGATGCTACTATTTTGTTTTACCTTCTTCCCTACATCCTGTTTTCTTACTGCCCTCATGCCCTTTCAGCATCTTTCAGTCCTATTTATAATACTCAACTGTCCCCTGTCCCCCATGATTAAGCTATAATAATACACTATTAACATTAAATTACAATCCACCTCTTTGACCCTCTTCCATATCAAATTCAAATGTTCGAAAGCCTAATAGAGTTACCAGAGAAAGGGAGAAGGAAACTATATCTTCTGCATATTTTAGTTGTTCTCTTATTATTCATTATTCTTCATTTTAAGTACAAGTCAACACATATACTAAATTTCCTCCCTTGCTACCACAGGCTATGTTGATCTAACAATGATTTAAACCACAATTTGTGATTAAGACAGTATATACATAATGTTATTTCATAGTGAATGGCTGTGCACATAACACAAGCCTCAAAACAAACTAAACAGATTATGGCCTAAGTTGTGAAATGTAGACCATTATGTCTCCCATCCTTCTTTATTTCCTGATTCTCTTCACATACTAAGTACAGAAGTACAGCTATGCTTATGCAATCCTTTAGGCAAAGGTTCCCAAACTTTCTCAGTTTACAGCACTTCTAAGCCAAAACCTGAGCTAATAGTTTGTCCACTGTCTGACAGATGTCAAGTATCACTGTGTTTCCCTCAAAAATTTAAAATATCCCGTGGTGCCCCTATTAAGTTCACTGCAATACAGTTTGACAACTGCAACCTTAAGAAATTATATCACTGTGGCTCAGTATATAATTCAAATGGGATACTTAATGTATTCCTACCCTTCCATGCAAATGTTTCTTGAAGCAGTTTACAATAAAACTATAAAATACAATTAGTATTCTATAAAATAGAGTTTAACAAATAGTTTGTCCAAACAAAATAATAAAGACACATTTGCATTAAAAAATGGGAGAAATAAATGCAAGAATAAGTACCATTCATCCAGGAGAGGCCTAGATAAAGAGAAGGTCTTCAGCCAACATCTAAAAGATGTAACAGTAGATACCTTACAAAGCATTATACTGTGCAGAGACTGTTACACAGGAGACCTGTCTGCAAAAAAAAAAAAAAAAGGGGGCTTAATATGGCACTCTTGTCAATCAGCAACATACAGCAGCAACTCTTCTGATGATCTTAAGAATCAATCAGGTCTGTAGTGGCAAAGGCAGTCTGCCCAGTATCCTGGACTAACAAAGTCTCAACTACCACAGAAAAACATAAATGTAGACTGATTGCCCAGAAAGCTTATAAATCTATGTATCAGTATCATCAATATCCTGCTCTTCTACTAAATTAGCTCAGAGCAGCATATGTATAAACATCATTCTAAAACTATCTACTATAATAACAATCAATTTCTAAAAGCACTTTATAGGAGACTTCAATTAGCAAGTGTGAAAAGATAGAGGGAAGGCTCAAAATAGGCATAGTAAAAGAACATGGAAATTATCAAGGAGGCAGAGAGATGCATGCTACAAAGCCCAGAGCACTGATGCCTGACATTTTAAAACGCATGCAGTTCCACAAAGTTGGTAAAGTCTACATAGGTTAGAACACCACATTAGACTTGAATCAAGTAAAAAGAAGGGCATTCTTTCGAGGCCTTCAAGAAACCTATTTAAGGTCACACGGACTCAATGTGTTTGCCTAGTTTGCAGGTCAATATGGTGTATGAATGCAGATAGGATACCACGTTCATGATTCAGTGTGTTGTGCAAAATCTGGAGAACTGAAGACTACATCACTGTGGCAATGCAATTACATCATCTGTGTAATAACTGTCATTACACGAAGTACGTAATCAAAACAGTAATCCATTTGATATGAAATCTATTGCATTAAAGCCTGGAAAATCAAGGTTTCCCTATATTAATTTCTGTATTAAATAAATAAATATTTATTTATTTATTAACTGGGCCTTACACATCACCCCAATCCAGCGGGACTCCAAGCAGCTTATATTCCCTTCTTACTGGAAAAGGCTTAAAATACAAATGAAGCATTTGGTTAGCGACCGTTCAAAATTACAACAGCGCTTAAAAAGTGACTTACAACCGGAGCCCAAAGTTATGACAGTCCCAGCACCCCCATGGGTGAAATCCAGGTGCTTGGCAACCAGCTTGCATTTACGATGGTTGCAGTGTCCTGGGGCCACATGATTGCCATTTGTAACCTTCCCAGCCAGCTTCCAATAAGCAAAATCAATGGGGAACTGTGTGATTCACTTAATGACTGTGGTGATTCACTTAACGACCACCGCCAAAAAAGTCATAAGATCGGGTCTGGTCAAGTGATTTGCTTAATGACCACATTGCTTAGCAACCTAAATTCTGGTCCCAATTGTGGCCATTAAGTGAGGACTACCTGTATGATAAAATAAAACAAACTAAAGCAAGATATAAGAACAAGTTACTAAGACAGACATTAAGGCCACCAAGAACAAAAACATCCAAACGTAACCCGGGGGGGGAGGGATTCTAATATATGCTAGGTCCCCTCCCATGGTTTTCTTAAAAAGCCAACTTTTAATGCCTCTACTAAAATACAAAAAGAAACTAGTCTGATCTTGGACAGTAAGCTGCAACAGAGAAGACTCAACTCCTGGAGCCCTACAGATGTCGATCCTTAAGGCAAGAGATCTGGAGTGAGCCTACCCTACTAAAACTTATTGTTTCAATATTAGAAATTTATATTGACTAAAAATGCAAGCCAACACAGTAAACCCTCAGTTTAGCAGACCTCAATTTTGCAGAATTTGAATATAACAGATAAATCTTTCATTCATTGAAAGATAAATCATTTCACCTGTATTTCATGGATGAAGAGCCATTAAATCAAGGACCTGACCATTAAATAGAGGTTTTATTGCAAATAAAATCAGTTGTTTTATTGCAAATAAAATCAAATTTGCATTTGAAGCAAACTGATATAAATGAAATAAATTCGGATTTAATGGACGAGCTCTTCAAATGGTCCATTAAATTGAGGTTTTTCTGTATAAACTTAATATAGTTGGAAACCAATTGGTTGAATTGTGGTTTATAAAATCAATACAGATAAACATGTTTTCTCCCATCTTCACACATAAATGGAAACTACATTTTACTTTATTAGAAAATGTATTACAAAAGTATTATATTATTTGTGGCAGGTCTCTTAAAGAAAATAGTTTTCATTACAGTAAAATATGTAATATTCACTACATATTTCAAGAGCACACATCTGAACTACAGTAATTCACAGGGTGAAGCAAATTTCAGGTGCTAAATCTAAATAAAACTTAATTCCCTTTTTAAAAAATATTTTTATTGCTCATTATAAAAATTCATAAAGAAAATCAAACTGCCTATCAAAATTATTTTCTAACATATGTTGCTCTGGTAACAGGCAAGGCAAGATGTTGGCAAAGCGTCTGTATTTCAAGTAAGATTAGGATGGAATTTTGCTAGAACAGTGATTTTCTATAAATTGGCTGCAATTCCCAAGCTCATTTACTTAGCTTTCCACAGTAAACAGAGGAATTTGCATGTTCATTTCACAACAACATGTAAAACACAAGAACTATGATGAAACACATAATGATAACATTCTTAACTTTATGCAACAAGTATTCCAAATGTATGAAATAGTTCAAAATCTTGGAGAATGTGCATCAGGATAACTTCAAAGTAAGTTAAAAAGGTAAACTTTCACCTATTTTCCAGATTCTTTTTTATTTACCTGAGGAACAATAGGATCTTTTCAGCCAGAAGAGCCATTCTTCTCTCCATGCCTGCCTAATCAGGATGAGGAAACCACTTCCTAAAATCCACTTCCTCTTCCATGTCTCAAACCTGACACAACTTTCAACAGCTCCTTGATCTTTCACAATACTGTATCCCGTAGCCACCTCCCTGTGTTTCAGGCCAGCCAATTTGACATTCGCTTCAAAATTTCTATTTTCCAAGCCAAAACACACATACCATGTTAGCTGAACAGCATGAAGAAACAGGTTACTATCTCCAGTTATTTCAACCACGCGTCCTTTCTGCTAAGAGTTCCATATGATGCGTTTAGACCGATCCTTAAAAGGAACTGCGCCGCTATCAAAACTGATGTTACCCATCATGTCCATATAGCCAAGGGGATGTAAAAATACATCTCAAGAAGACGGAGCTGTAACGAGCGGTTTGGCTAAATATGGTTAAGCATACGCTGCAAGCCTACACCTAAACGGCTGGGGAAAAAGATAAAGCAACAAAGATATGGCTGGAGATTGCAAAGGGGGGGGGGTGACGATGCCCGTTACATTAAAGCGAGGGGCAGCGGCAGGCAAGACCTGAAAAGAGTCACACCACCGGCGTGGAGGCGGATGAAGAGCCCTGGGAAGAATTGCATTGACGATGCCCGTTACATTAAAGCGAGGGGCAGCGGCAGGCAAGACCTGAAAAGAGTCACACCACCGGCGTGGAGGCGGATGAAGAGCCCTGGGAAGAATTGCATCACGAGCCCACAGAAAGCCGGAAAAAAGAGACTCCGCCGTTCATTCATCCCTGCGCTCCACCTCGATGAGGACTGCATCCACGCCGAGGAAAAGGTGGGGGAGGAAAGGGGAGGGAAAGGGGCAAGCTCAGCCTCTGCAGCCCGGACTTCTCCGAGGAACGAGCGCCCAGGATTTTCAGAGGCTGATTACTGGGAGGAAGAGGAAGCCGCGAACAATAGCAATAACGTCTCCCGCGGCAGGGACGCCCCGGATCCCTCCGTCCCGCAAGCACACACCCAGCCAGCCAGCCGGCG